TTAATAGTTTTAAAACAATTGGACTCTAGAGATAGCTAGCTACTTCCAGGATATTGATACAGAGAGTTAGTAGTATATGAATTGTGAAGTACTGTGCCGGTTTCAATTGGTAGTTGCATTCTCCTATTTGCTACTAACCCATTTCTCTCTTTTTTTTTTTTTGCAGGTTAGCTGCTTTGGAGATGATTCAAATTCCGATACTGGGGATCACTGGAAGTAATAATCCCAATGGCAATTTCATGTTGATCTAATATTTTGTCTTATCCACATCCACCTTATAACTGACATAAATTACCATTGCTCATAGGCTTACAATCGAAGGTAGTGGAAAGACATGGAAACAAGACCAAAGAGTCAGGCTTCAACACATTGACACTAGTGGCTACCTCCATAGCCACGACAAGAAGTACCAACGCATAGCCGGTGGTCAGCAAGAGGTATAACTAAATCCTGATCTCTACTGGTGAAAGTCTGGAAAGATTATGGCAATGTCTTGAAAGTTTAAACTCATGCTTATATTGATATTAAACAAAATTTAACACATGAGATTGTTTTTTTTCGGGTACTTAGGTCTGTGGAATCCGGGAAAAGAGGGCTGATAATGTTTGGTTGGCAGCTGAGGGAGTCTACCTTCCCGTTAATGAGAGTAGCAAGTAAGGTGAAGAGTTGTGTTAACTTCTCTGGAGGACTTTGAATCTCATCTTTTACTCTCTAAACTCAAAAACAAGAAAATAGAAAATATATGTATTTTGCTAATCTGCGATTGATGATGATACTGTCTGTAGTCGCACGAATTTACATATTTGTTTTGGTAGGTATTTCGCATTGATCTTTTTTCCTTATTTAAGAGTTTAATTATTATGTGTGATTGGAAACTTCGATTTCTCTCATCAAACAACAACATCACCGAGAGTCGATTGGCAAGTCCATAACTATCCAGTGGCCATACAGCTCATATTTCTTTAAAAATACATGAAATTCGATAAAACATCAATGCATATGAATATCTAAACAAAGATATCACCAATTGGTTACCATGCTTGATTTATGAAAACCAAATTGATCAAGCATGTAAAAGATTACACAAACACAAGGAAATGCTTCAAGACCAAAAAAATTCACTACTAGACAGACAATGAAGGATCAAAATCAAAACTGAAACAATCATAACGGTTTCTACGCTTATCTAAACAAATTTTCTTGGCGACCGAGTTCTGCTTGTATGAAGCAACTGACTTATGCTATTGCTCATCCAAACTACAATCCAAGGCCCAGCTTATTCTATCCCCCCTTCTTTCACATTCAACACGTGTATGGTTTTTCTTAGTTTGCTTGCTTCTGGAGTTCTGGTGCTGTATTGAAGGTTTCACTAGCGTCAAACACATGTTTCTCGATAAGGAGGCTGTTGGAACTGGAATTTTGACCAAATGCAGAGGCATATTATTAGTAAGACATTTTGTTCCCGAGTGCGGTGTGAATTAGTTTTATCCCGTGACTCTAATTTCACATAGTACGCCTCACTACAAAGCAAATTTAAGAGTTAAAAAAGAAAAAAAGATATAATATCTCCACTCCACGTTCTTCTTTGCGTTTTATAAATGTATTCAAAAAGCTCAACTTTATTATATTATATAGCATACATCGCTTTATACTTTATTACAATTTCAGTTCATTTTCCAGCTCCTACAAAACCCAACATACCCTTCCAAGGTGGATTAGGTTGTCAAATAACATGTGTTCCTTGTAATATTTCACCTTTTAAGTTGGTGATGACTTATGAGACACATTTATGTACGCTAAAACATACGGATGTTATTAAAAACCTTTTGTGCAAAAGATCTGTTGAAAGAAGAGATTACGGTGAGGGTGAAGATGATGTAACATATCGAAGAAAGGAATTTTAAAAGCATAGGAAATCTATATAAAAAACATGTACATCAAGATGTTTTTCAGTTTACTTTCTTTATTACTGTAAATGAAAATAATCATGGGAGTTAGAAGATTATGAGCACATTTACGGTAACGATCCGTATGTTTTAGGGGTTCTGGTTTGTTTGATCCAACCATGATAAACCTTAAGTCACTTACTTACATGATTAGAATCTCCTTAATTTGCTACAACCAAAGGAAAATTCAAAAATTAAAAGTACCATACTACATACTTTTGGCATGAACTGAAGTTTTAACAGAAGTACTGATTAAAAATCAATACATATTGTTGAAAAACAGTAACAATTGTCCTAGAAAAAAAACGTTTTTTTAACACTGAAAAGAATTTTATTCCAATAGTTGCACAAAACGTTTACCATGAAAGTATTGACGTATACAATAGATCAGAAATTTAACAATTCCACGCACGCCAATAGGGGCTATGATAATAGAGAAATTTCTAAAGAAAGATAAGCACACCAATAAAATCTTAATTGAACCATAAGATAAGCACACCAATAAATCTTAATTGAATCATAGGGAGAATTTTAATTATACCACTTTGGTGGTATCACTTTTCATGTTTACCATTAACAAAGGAACATTTTCAAAAATACACATTTTATTAAAGGATAAAAGACTTTTATAACCTTGTTCTTTATATATATATACATAAAATAAATATTAAATAAAATATTAACTCTAAACCCTAAAACATCAATTCTAAACTCTAGACCCTAAAAAGTAAATCCTAAAAATCAACCCTAAACTCTAAAATATCAATTCTAAACCTTAACCCCTAAACTCTAAACCCTAAAAGTAAACCTTAAACTCTAAAAATTCAACACTAAACCCTAAACTATCAATCCTAAACCCTAAACTCTAAATTCTAATAGTATTTTGACTATTAAAATTTTCATGGTAAAATTGGTTAATGTAAAGTTGAAAAGTGGTATCTTGAAAGTGTTATTTCTGGCAATTTCTCATCATAAAAGTGTGTTAATACGTGAAACATGCTGAACCAAACATCGCCGTATGTAGTTCATCATCTTTACCGCTCGAATATCAACTTGAGGTTGCTCAGAGCATATCTTTCACCAACGAACACTGAACTTAGAACAATGAAAATAGAGAGGCGTTTGTTATGTTTCCAATGAGAAGAAACACACCGTCGATCTTCCGCTCGATCAATCATGCATCTGCAATTGGACTTCCGATCCGGAACAAGGCCATATCTAGAACAAAAATACCAAAAAGAGTCACTGAGGATGAGTCTCACAAGCCACAACTGATACCTCAACCCTCCATATCACAAACACCACCATGACGTCTCTATGTGAAGTACAACTCCAATACAATAACAAGAAACCAAAGAGTAAATTTGAACCATAACTTCCAAGAGACTGTTTCAGAAACTCATCGTAAAACAATTTTAAGATCAGAAAAATAGAAAAAAAACGATAAAGAAAAAGCAAACATATGAGAAAACTGTAAGAGAAATAAGAAGAAAACAGGTATCTCCTGGCGTAAGCGACAAGCGCTATCCACCGGGAAGAAACAAAAATCTTTTGTGGGCTAAGGCTGCGTGCATGGAGTCCACCTTTCTTTCATGCATCTTTTAAACATGTATTGAAATTTCACTCCGTAAATTAGTTAAGGTTTCTTGACCAAAAAAAAAAAAAAGATTAGTTAAGGTTTTTCTCATAAAACCAATATGGAAACAAGCTTACATTTTGTTGTTTACTTAATCAGAATTTGACTGTTCCATCTTTTGAAACTATTCACTTTATATAGATACTGCTTTATATAGTATACATTTCCCATTCATTTTAACTTCACTTTTTGAAAATAAATGATACGGAGTATATCTTATACTCCTCATTACCAGTAACTCTAAAATCTAATCATTTAGGTGACATACTTCACCAAAAAACTCGCCGGAAAGTTAGCATAAGCCATTTTGTCAAACTTCAAGTTCCAACAATACATTGGTTTTTATGATGGCCTGTCGCTTTTTTCTTTATCTCAAAATGTAGCGGAAAATGAAAGAAAAATAAAAGCAATCCAGATTAAAAATAGTTAGGCAAGATAAAAACCTAAGTGTCTTTTGACAAAATTAAATGTTACATCAAGTAAGTGAAAATTGTATTTTAATGAGCTAAAATAATTTAAAATAAACTGAATTATTGTTTGCTTGTTATTTAAGTCAATCAAACAATATAAATAATAATCCTGATGATTGGCTTCATTTTAGTCAACTCTTCTTAAGAAAATAAATGTAAAACTGTCTGTGTTTACAATTATGTGCATCTGAGTTTTGAACTTGAATTTAAAACTTAAAACTGAGAATAAAAAATAGAGGCCTTTGACCCCCTCCAAAAAAACAGAGCATGCCAGTTTCTTCTTTTAGCTTATGTATTTTCAACGCTTTTAGTTTATGTTTGAGCGTGTCGAAACCACAAAATAAGTCATGTCGCTTCACCTCCCGAAGAGATGGTATCAGGTGTCTTTTTTTCTGAGACAAGGCATTCTAGATGTTATCAGGTTTCTAAGATTCGTGTTGATCATTTTAGCTTGTCTTGCCCAAAGGGTATGGTGCATGTCTATAAATGGTAGGGTAGATACTTACTTGGAAGGTGTACCTAATTAAGAACAGTTGCAGTCGGTTGAAAGAATGATCGTGGAGAAGCAATAAGAGCTGATCTCAACCTGGCCAGCTGCTCAACTTATTACAATATCGTTTGAGTCAACGCTTCCTCTTTCGTTCATTTATTTTTTCCATATCTTGTTTTCCTCAAATTGTTTTTAATATCTAATACAGCTTTTACTGCTACTAGGCAAAAGGATATTTTATTTTATTTTTAATTACGATTGGAGTAAACAACAGTTAATGCTACGACGTGAGGTGGGTCCTCTTGATACAGAAAGCAGCCACATTTTCTTGAAAATCAAGGATAAAAAAAAAGTCAGAGATGGCACACGTACCCTGCCCCTTATACAGAAACCTGAAGAGAAAAGAACAGTCGTGAAGAGAAAAGCACAGTCCTCAGAGAGAGAGAGAGAGAGAGAGAGAGAGAGAAGCATGGGGAGTTTGAGGAGTAGAGGAAGACACGAGATAGATGAGATTGAACAGCTTTCGAGAGAAAGCAGTCATTTTAGCCTTACAACTGGGATCTTACCTTCGCTTGGAGCAAGAAGCAACCGACGAATTAAGCTAAAGAGATTCGTCATATCTCCTTACAATCATAGATACAGGTCTCTCTCTGTCTTTTTACCACTTCTTTTTTGTTTTTCATAAGTACAGTTAACTTGATTGTTCTTTTTCATTGATTTCCGTGGATCGGAAATACCAAAGTTCTATTTTCTTCGCTAAGAACAATTTTTATTTTTTTTTAGCCTCAGTTTACCCAAAAAAACAATTTTTTTTTTGTTGGAATTGTAATTTTTAATAATTAGATTAGATGGGAATAAAAGTAATATAAATTAAGAAGAGTAATCATACACCCACGTAATACTCTTTTTGGACGGCCGACCAAAAAGTATATAATAACAGCAATACAGAACAAATTTAGTATAAGATAACAACAATACAACTACATTAGAGCTATAATTAATAAAATAATCCTAATAGTGGGATGGTTAGAACATAATGTGTAATATATATATACATATATATAAACATTTGGTGATATATGGTTGACCATTTGAAATCATTTTTGCTTATTTTTATAAATTTTGTTTTCTTTTTGAATATTTCTCTATTATTAAATTAATTTCCCTTCATTTTAATTACTTTTCATCTTTTAAAATTAAAATCTGTAATTTCATTTGAAATTTTAGACTATTCTGTATCTAACGTGTTTTAAACTTAAAAAAAATAAATATATTTTTGTAAGTATATTAACATTTAATCATAAAATAAGAAAATTTCATTCTATATATTAATATATTAAATAGAATGACAAATAGTTATTTTCATACATTTCTATGATTTGTAAAGTTATTTTATTTCCTATTAGTTATGCTGTCCAATTAATCCATAATATTTAATAGTTTCATGTTAGTAATATAGAATTTATAGTAAATGAAACAAAAATATGTCATGCAAACATTAAATAGTACTAGAACTTGACAAACACCCTTGTGCAGATGTTTGATTTAACTTGTGTTCAACATAAATTCATAAATTGCTGATTTTATATAAAAATATTTATTTTATGTTTTGTAATTTACATATAGAATATAATATATTATTTTATAATATAAAATTTTAATAATAATTTTTATTTATACATAATATTATATTAGAAATTTTATATAATATTATATATTTCAGTTTGTATTTTTATTTTCACCACAAAGAAAAAAATCCTTGTAATTAATTAATTTAAATTAATTACAAATGCAATGGGGAAATCTTTAAATAAAAAAATATAAAAATAAAGTATTTAATTTATTGTAAATACAATGGTTAAATATGTAAATAAAAAAAATATTTAATTTATTATCCATATTTCCAAATAATTTTTATTTATCTTGCTATTTTATTTCTAAACAATACCAAAAAAGTACTTTTATAATAACATAAACGTAGATATACAAGTACACAGTAAAAGTGATGATGTGTAATAATAATCATGTATTTTCTTCCTAAAAATACTGATTGGTTAGTGAATTAAAGTGTTTAATAAGATGGCTATGAGCTTTATCTAAAGCTTGGCTATAGAAGTAATTAACCCTAAATTCTATCAAGGGTAAACTATTCTTACTGCTCAACTACCATTTGATTCTATCAAGGGTAACTAAAATAGCACAATAGTATTTTACTTTTCCGTAAGTTATAATATATTGTGTAGATGTCTACTTTATGACAAAATATATCTATCTGCTTAACCTTTTTTGTCAAATTGCACAGCTTTTTGGATTATTTCTCTTTATTAATTTTGTTGTATCTCTTAAAAAGAGATCATAGTACAATCACTTTCTTGTTATTTGATTTAGCAGACAATTTATTGCCCCTTTTTATTCAACATTTAGAATATTCAAATCCTAGTTCCGTATCATTCTCATTTGACAGTCAACAAATAAGGCAAATGTAGAAAATTCAAACCGTTCTTTATCAGATTGGTTGGTTGGCTAATTGGCTTAAAGCCCCCCTGCTTTTGACCATAACATGTAAATGAACACGTTAATGTGGGGGAAATAATAAATGATATAGTGAACGTGGAGAATTCAATGCCTTGATTCAACAACTGATGCACTCTCTGATCAAATAAGAATATAAGTAAGATAATAAAAAGTAGAAATACTTTTATATCGTGTATCTTAGCATATCATCAAACAACAACACTTTAAGGCTACCAAACAATAACTAAAACTATATATGGAATGATGATTGTTGATTAAGACTGAAAATAGAAGTGTTGAATGCAGGATATGGGAGGCTTTCCTGGTGGTTCTTGTGGTTTATACTGCATGGGTTTCCCCTTTTGAGTTCGGGTTCTTGAGAAAGCCAAGGCCACCACTCTCTATCACCGATAACATTGTGAATGGATTTTTTGCGATAGATATCATCTTGACTTTCTTTGTGGGTTACCTTGATAAATCAACTTACCTTCTTGTCGATGATCGTAAATTGATTGCATTCAAGTACTTGCGTTCTTGGTTTGTCCTCGACCTCATATCAACCATGCCCTCAGAGGTGGCTATGAGAATCTCATCCCAGTCATACGGATTATTTAATATGCTTCGGCTCTGGCGTCTCCGCAGAGTCGGTGCCTTGTTTGCCAGGTAACATATCAATAACATTTTGATTTTTTCCTACACACAGAATCTTGACATTTTCTTAGAACAGGCTTGAAAAGGATCGCAACTTCAACTATTTTTGGGTCCGATGCGCAAAACTCGTTTGTGTAAGATCATCTAAACGTATAATGTTTTCATTTACTTAAACCACACTACTCTCAGTGTAGTAACTCATTAGTTGGAGGATCTTGCAGGTCACGATTTTCGCGGTTCATTGTGCTGCATGTTTCTATTACCTTATCGCCGCACGGCACCATAACCCAGCAAAGACCTGGATTGGAGCATCCAACGCAAACTTCCTAGAGGAAAGCTTGTGGATGCGATATGTGACTTCCATGTACTGGTCCATCACTACTTTAACCACTGTTGGTTATGGTGATTTGCATCCAGTGAACACCAAGGAGATGATATTTGACATTTTCTATATGCTCTTCAACCTTGGGTTAACAGCATACTTGATTGGTAACATGACCAATTTGGTAGTCCATGGAACAAGTCGGACAAGAAACTTTGTAAGTTATCATTTCTATAATCTAAGTATATGTATAATTAATTATACGAGGCTGTTATGGAAATCTCAAACTTGGTTCTTGTTTTTGTGTAGAGAGATACAATACAAGCTGCTTCAAACTTTGCTCATAGGAACCATTTACCACCTCGTTTGCAAGATCAGATGCTTGCACATTTATGTTTAAAGTATCGGACAGACTCTGAGGGGCTTCAGCAGCAAGAGACTCTTGATGCACTCCCAAAAGCAATTAGGTCGAGTATATCACATTTTCTTTTCTACTCACTTTTGGATAAAGTGTACCTGTTTCGTGGAGTATCCAACGACTTGCTTTTCCAACTGGTAAAATATTTTAACAACACACTCCTCTTCCATTTTTAAATGATTCATTCAATCATCTCATTTCTTAACATGTAGGTCTCTGAAATGAAAGCAGAGTACTTCCCACCAAAAGAAGATGTAATCTTGCAGAACGAAGCGCCTACAGACTTCTACATTCTTGTGAACGGTACTGCGGTAATAAAATTTACAAACCCTATACAGTTTTTGATGACTAGAAATATATTAAAAGAATGCAAGACGAGTTTATATCTGTGTACACTTTTTTTATCATGGTGCAGGACTTGGTTGTTCAAAACGGTGGAACAGAAAATGTAAGTGTAATTTTATGTTTATTATTTCTAAACCCGTGATCATGGAGTTAAGCATTTCATAAAGAGTGGTTTGTGGAGATTTTCAGATTGTGAGAGAGGTTAAAGCTGGAGACATTGTAGGAGAGATAGGTGTGCTGTGTTACAAACCACAACTCTTCACTGTGAGGACAAAACGTTTGTGCCAACTATTGCGTATGAACCGTACAACGTTCTTGAATATTATTCAGGCTAATGTTGGGGATGGGACTATAATCATGAATAACTTACTTCAGGTGAGAGCAAACATATCTTGTAGAATTGTTAATATAATTCAAACTTACACAACTATTTTCTTGTTTTTAACTCTCTCTCTCTCTCTATGTGTCTTTTTTGAGTAGTATCTGAAAGAAATGAATGATCCGATGATGTCGAATGTTCTACTAGAGACAGAACACATGCTTGCACGGGGTAAATTGGATCTTCCTATCAACTTATGCTTTGCTGCAATAAGAGAAGACGACATGCTTTTACTTCAGTTACTAAAGAAAGGACAAGATCCTAATGAATCTGATAATAATGGCAGAACGCCTCTGGTCAGTGAACTTCACTTTTTATTTTTCTCCCATTTAAGCTCTATGGAGATTATATTAGGGATAATATATCCCACATTAGGAATTCAATGGGACATTAAGTAATATATAAAGGGTTAGGCCAATTCACTTATCATCAATTGATTTTAAGTTGGAAGCCGATAATAAACACGAATCTAACATATAACTTCGATTCATTCTTTTTTCTTGTCTTGAAACAGCATATAGCAGCATCAAAAGGAAGCATCAACTGTGTCCGTCATTTGTTGGACTACCATGCAGACCCTAACTGTAGAGGTACTTGCTGAAAAACATTGTTCAGTATCAAATGGTTCTTCTTTGATTTTATGTAACTGAGAAGCTGCTTTTACCATACAGATGTGGAAGGGAACATACCACTATGGGAAGCAATGGTGGAAGGGCATGAGAAAGTTGTAAAAGCACTGTTGGAACATGGTGCTACCATAGAGGCAGGAGATGTGGGTCATTTTGCATGCACTGCGGCTGAACAAGGAAACTTGAAGCTACTAAAAGAAATAGTTAGACTTGGTGGAGATGTCACCCGTCCAAGAGCCACAGGGACCTCTGCACTCCATGCTGCTGTATGTGAAGGGAATATTGAAATGGTAAAGTATCTTCTTGAGCAAGGTGCAGACGTTAACAAACAAGATATGCATAGCTGGACGGCTAAGGATCTCGCTGAGCAACAAGGGCATGAGGAGATTAAAGCACTGTTCCGAGAAAAAAGGTTTGAGAGGGCGCATATTGAGTCAAGTGCCTCGGTTCCTATACTCAAAACCGCGATAAGATTTCTAGGAAGAGGCACTAGTGAACCTAACATTCGCCCTCCATCGAGAGAGGTGTCTTTTAGGATCACGGAAACAAGGCCAAGACGTAAGACTAACAACTTTGACAACTCGTTGTTTGGAATCTTAGCTAGTCAAAACGTGCAGAAGAACGGGCTAGCCACGGTGGATGAAAGCAGAGTTGTAAACCCGGTGAGGGTGACGATTAGTTGTAAGGAGAAAGATGAGGTAGCAGGGAAGATGGTGTTGCTTCCAGGGAGTTTCAAGGAGTTGCTAGAATTGGGTTCCAACAAGTTTGGTATTGTTGCTACCAGAGTTATGAACAAAGAAAACATGGCAGAGATTGATGATGTAGATGTTATAAGAGATGGAGATCATATCATCTTTGCTACTGATTCTAGCCATTCCTAAAAGACATCCAAGCTCTGTATGGCTAGTAATGAGAAGTTGATAATGTTTGCTTTAAGAGCTTTGTAAAGAAAAAAAAGAGAGAATGAATGAGCCTTGATAAAGAATGCGTAAATGTGGATGGATCATTGACCATTGACTTCTTGTTTCTATTAAATTATGAATGTGAAAAGCGATGAATAGCTCTTTGTATTTTCCTCTTACTGCACAGCCTCGAGTTTGTCGGTGCGTCTATCCATTTCGAACGATAAATAAACAAAACAAATTCCAACGCTTGATAGAGAAATAAACGTACTTCAAAATATGTTACAGGAAAATAGAGGAGAGTAAAGTAGTGTCTTGTGATAAAAAGAAGCTGCTGAGCTTTGCACAAAGAAAATGATAAGACCAATAAAATGAAGACAAATGGCAGAAGAGGAATGGAGGTCCTCATGTTAATCAAAGAAACAAAGCTCAAAGAAAATGATAAGACCAATAAAATGAAGACAAATGGCAGAAGAGGAATGGAGGTCCTCATGTTAATCAAAGAAACAATATTGATACAGAAGTGTTGGAGAGGAAGATTCCAACAAAAAAAAATAGTGAACGTGAATTTGTAACTTCTTCTTCATTTTCTCTTTTGTCTCTCTGAGAATTTTCTCTGCATTTTTCCTCACCACTGCCTAAAGAGTTCATTTGGTGTCTTATTAGGAACGTCAAAATACTTCAAAAAAAGTAAAAAAAAATTCAAACGTACTTCAAAATACTTCACAATCTATCGCTTAATATATAGTAGCAGCGAATACTACTAAAACAAAACCTACTATTATTATACGTACATGTGCATGACTGACAACTTTTTTGGTTTTTGTTTCCAAGATTTGTCTTCCCCGTTAAGCAACAAATAGAAGAATAGTAGAATAGTAAATATATTAAAAAAAAAAAAAAAAAAAAGAAAGAAATCAAACAACGTACGAAAATGGTTGTCGGTTCTTTTCCTAAAAAAGAGAACAACGCAGCAGTAATCGTACTACAATAGTTAATTATTCCATAAACAAATTCAAATCACATTTAGGAAGCACATAAAGTACGAAAAACAAGACAGAAATCTAGAGATCTCACACCTTGTAGCATAGTATAAAAATTCCTACTCCAATCTTCACTTCTCGACATCTGTCCTGGCATTCCCAAAGTATTCCACTCCCACATTAGGTTTAGGCCTGCAGAAGACATGCTCAGTGAACGTATGTTTAAGGTGTCGTACCCTAGCTTGGAACGGTTTGATCAAACCATCATAAGGATCACGAACTTCAGACGTTACGAGAAACATGAACCCAGCAGAGTAGTGAAAATTCGCTTTAACAACCCTCACAAACTCAAAATCTGTATTACACGTTCCGTTGTGACCAAGGAGGGCCTCCTTGGAGAGCCTCTCGAGTAAATCTCCAGTGGTTTCTGGCTCATCCACGAACTCGTGTGAATCTAGGTAAGTACGATGGTAGTTGAAAACGCAGCGGAAGCATTCGAAATCTATGTCGAAACCGTCGCTGTTAACGACTTCTTCCTTGATACGTTCGTGCTCCCAGGTTGCCAAAACAGACATGGACCTTCGAGCCAGCGATTCCAGCCTTCGAATTCTTCGGGCATTGCCTCGTCAGGAATCAAAGATATCGCCTCTGGGCTCTCGTCGATTTAAACTTGTTTTTAAAATAAAATACGACGTGAAAAAAGAAAAAGTTAACATGATTATCGGCCCAGGCCCACCATAATTAAATCCTTATGATTGTAGTTTGGGCCTTCAATGATTCGCTAACCCAATCAACTAGAAACTCAACGGTTTTATTCGGAACCGATACTTAAAGACTGATTACAACTCTTCCTCTTCCTCGTTTTCTGGATATTTAACTCTTGAGTTTCAGTCAATCAGTAGGGCGAAATGGGTACACAGTGGCGACAAATGCTTTCTCAGTTGTCCAAACTTTTCTGACTTTGTCGTCTGATTTCGCTTCTAGAGCAAAAGTCGCGCCTCCACTTAAACTTCACAGGTTTTTTTCTCTAGAGGGTTTTCAACATTATAGGGTTATGTGTGGGAACGTTTTTAAGTTGTTGCTAACTGTTAGCCTACATTTTGTGGTATTATTTATCTCATTTTGGGTTCAACTCAGAAATCAGTTTATTACATTGTCAACAAATGTTTCTCCATTCTCCAGGTGTTTCTGATTTTGTCTTCTAAGCTTTCAACATTCCGGTTTTTTTTTTCTAGGGTTCTGTCTTGTTCATCAGTGTGGCTGGATATGTTTTCAATTGTTACTAAATCGTTCTTGTTTTATTTGGTCATGGTCGGAATGTAAAAGGTATGGACATAATCAGTGGGCTATCGGATGAGTTACTGGTCAGGATACTGACCTTTGTTTCGACAAAAGTTGCTGTATCCACTAGCATTTTGTCTAAACGATGGGAGTTTCTATGGATGTGGGTGCCTAAACTCGCACCAGACTTATAAGGAACCAGACCTTGCACTTGGGGAGTCTATTACCACGAACCTGCCATTACTTAGAGCTCCGGCCATAGAAACCTTTCGTCTCAGATGCGACACTAAATCATTTCAACCTGAGGATATCATTCACTGGGTTGGAGTCACGGTTTCTCGGTGTATTCGAGAGATAGATATCAGCTATTTCAATATGTCTTTTCACGGGTGAACCTAATGTATTATTATTGCCGAGCAGCTTGTTTACTTGTGAATCGGTTGTGAGTTTGAAACTTAACGGCGAGAAGATTCTTATGGATGTTCCTCGTACTGTCTCTCTCCCTTAATTGAAAACATTGCTTCTTGGATGTGTTACTTACTCAAAGGAGGATTCTTTTCGACTGCTTTTGTCCTACTGCCCTGTTCTTGAAGATCTGTTTATTAAACGAAGTGGTCACGACATTGCGAAAGCCATAGTTGTTATCAGTCCGTCCTTGCAGAGGCTAACATTACCGTTAGATGGTGGAATTTTTTCATCTGATGAGTTTGTGATATTGCCCCTTCTTTGAAGTATTTCAATGTTGAGGATTACAATGCGAGGTTCTCTTACTTGGTTGCTCAATGTTGAGGATTACAATGCAATGTGCAGTTCCTACATGTTTGTTGGAGAGCCTTGAAACTTTCGAGTTTGCAGAGTGCAGGGGAAGACAAGAAGAGAGAGACTTGGTGAGTTTTATCATAAAAAATGCTTGTCACTTGAAGTCCTCAAGGATCACGCCTTGTACCAGAATGGAAACTTGCTCCTCAACAGATAGTTCTGATGATTAAGTCGTTAATGCATTGGCTTGTTTTGTTTTGTTGTCCAAGAACAGTTAGGTGCTTATTATGTGTTGATTCTACACTACGGTCTTTTTAATGTTTTTCATTCAAGAAAAACTAAACGATTCCAGTGCTAGATTTGATGTAGCTCTTTAAACCCTATCAGTATTTTTTGGTCGCGGTAATACCAATAAAAAACTCAGAGAAATGAGCTTATGAGTAGTGAGAAAAGACGAAATGAGAAGAAGATAAGAGGAAAAACTGGTAAAGATAAATTCCGATTTTGATCGTGTTAGGTAAACGTTTGCTTACAGGAACCATAACCCAAGATCATACATTAGATAGCGATGACAGAAAGTACAAACATACAGTAATTAATGGCATTAGTGTGGCTGACGACGAGTGATGAAGAAGTAGCGTACTTCATGAACCTAATGAGTCCTCCCGCTTGATGCATATGTCACTCTTGAGGTAAGGCAACATATATGAAGAAACCAACATAAAATGCGCATTTGGTGGTTCATTGCTCACTTCACTGACTCTTTGGAGGTTTGAGTTAAACACCAAGTCATCACCGCAATGTGAAGATAGCTTCAGTTGGTAGGAGTACTTGTCTGTTCCTGGTCCAATACAGCATGCATAGAGTATCTGACCCTCTGGTATGTCAAACAACGACACAACCACAATTTCTCCTTCTCCTTCTTCTGTAGTCTCTTCCTTGAGAATGAGCCTCTTATACGCTAAGAGATGAATATGCTCGGGTGTTCCACATTTAAACGGGCGTGTGGAAAATGATCGGTAAGCTCTAGCATACCAAGGTTCCACAATGCTGTGTTCAGCAACGCTGTGTTCAAATAAATCCTTGAAGGAGCAAGTGAAGTCACAGCTGCTAAAAGGGCAAGTACGTTGGGTGAAAGGACAGTGCTTTACATGTGCTGCTGTTTCAGAACAAGTGACAATCTTTGAGCAACCATCATTCGGACATGGAACTTTAAGTAGTTCGAGAACTCGCTCCATAGCTCTGTTGCGGGAAAGAGTGGGTAAAGAGCATGTTGCACACTTCTCGCTCAACTTTTGGCAGCAAGTAGAACACGCTATATGTCCGTTATCACACTAAAGAAAAATGAAGAAGACAATGTGAGAGGAGAAGTGGAGTTGAGGTGTAGAAACAGATTGAGACACGTAACCTGAAAGATTGGAATGGTGAGGGGATGATAGCAAATGGGACAGTCTGTAACATCCAGATCCAGCAGCGTCCCAGTGCGTTCGGTCGGAGAACGTGGCCTCTTTTGCGAAGTCCTGTTGGTTAATAATGCAAGCGGGGTCTCGTCGCCGGAGAAACCCTTCATTTCGAGAGAGAACTATTAATCTGAAGCTCTGCACAGTGTATCTCGAAACCCTAGCTGCTGACTGTCTGGTTCCATTTGTTTATTTTTTTCAGTTTTGGGTTCAGGCCTACTAAAACAATGGTAATGGGCTCTGCATCTTGAAAGCCCATTATAGTTTCTTCTACTTTCACTTCCTTTTTCTTCGTCGTTTATTTTTTTTTTTTTTCAGAATATTAAACAGTCAGTAAGCCGAAAATGGATATTCAGTGTCGACAAATGCCTTCACAGTTCTCTCCGAGTGTTTCTGAGTTGGTCGTCTAGCAGAGATTCGTGCCCTCCACTAAACTTAACAGGTTAATAATTTCTTCACCACACATTAAAGCTTTTTCTAGGGTTTTGCTTCATTCCTCTCTGTTTGGCTATGTTTTCCAATTTGTTAGCTTTATATTCTTACCGTGTAGTAAAAATACTGTTTTTTTTTTCTGGGGTTCTGTCTTATTCTACCTATAAATCAAGACTCTAGCTTTTTTTTGTTCTGGGGTTTTCTTTTTCATGTCTATCTTTCAACATTTCAACTCTTTTATAGTGTTTTGTGAAGGTATGGACAGAATCAGTGGACTATCCGATGAGTTACTGGTCAAGATACTAACGTTCGTCCCGACAAAAGTTGCTGTATCCACTAGCATTTTGTCTAAACGATGAGCTTGTTTACTTGTGAATCTCTTGTGGCTTTGAAACTTAAGGGGGAGAAGATTCTTGTGGATGTTCCTCGGACGGTTTCTCTCCCTTCAATGAAAACTCTGCATCTCGGACGCGTGACTTACCTAAACAATGAATGTTTTAGGCTGCTTATATCCTACTGCCCCGTTCTTGAAGATCTGGTTATTCAACGAAATGGTCAGGACAACATGAAAACCGTAGGCTGTTTTTAGTCCGTCCTTGCAGAGGTTAACCTTACCGATAGGTCACGGATTGCATTTCCTTGAGGAGTATGTGATAGTTACTCCTTCTTTGAAGTATGTGTGTTGTTTGCAGTATATGTATCGTGATGGTATATTATTCAATCGGCTTGAACATCTGAAGCTATGTATACGTTTTGATTATTGGTCAAAGTTGCTTTTCCGGCTGCTCCATGATTCTCCTAACCTGCGAGTTCTCAGTCTCTGTGTCTCCGTAAGCTTCTTTCTTTGACAATTTTACTATCGATGGTGTAGTCTTGTTAACTCTCTCTACCTCTTTTGTTTCTCAGAAAGTTATACGTTTTACGAAGTATGAACCAATTAACTGGAACAGCAGCGACATCTCTGTTCCTACGTGTTTGCTGGAGAGCCTTGAAACTTTCGAGTATGCAGAGTACAGGGGAAGTCAAGAAGAGAGAGACTTCGTGAGTTTTATCATTAAACACGCTCGTCACTTGAAGTCTTCATCAATCACGCCTTGTACCGGAATAGAAGCTGATTCCGTTTCAGAAAGTTACGATGAGTTCGAAGGAGTAGTCTCATTTCGATTCTAGATTTTTAGGCTTTTGTTTTGTGTTTTAATGTCTAAGAAACAGTTAGGCCCTGTTCGTTTGTACATCTGAAAGATGCATCCAGATGGTCCATCTAGATGTCTTATCCAGATGCTCCATCTGGATGTTGTTCGTTTCTCTATTTTGTCTATCTATCTAGATGAATCATCTAAATGTAACTATGTTCGTTTGTTTTTTTAACTTGCATCTGCATCCAGATGGATTTGTTAATAAAATGAATAAAAGAAATTTGTGTTTACATTTTTAGCGGGAAAATGCAATTTTACGATTTTGATGAAAATGAGTTTTTCCAGTTTTGCCGGAAAAATTAATGTTTACGATTTTGACATGAAAATGTGTTTTTACAGTTTTAGCGGGAAAACATTTTTTGCAATTTTGGCGGGAAAACGCGTTTTTACCGTTTTGCCGAGAAAACGCGTTTTGCAGTTTTGGCGGGAAAACGCATTTTTACGGTTTTGGCGAGAAAACGCGTTTTTGTAGTTTTGACGGGAAAACACGTTTTTACGGTTTTGGCGAGAAAATGCATTTTAACGGTTTTGATAGAAAATGCGTTTTATAGTTTTGGCGGGAAAACGTGTTTTATGTATTTTGGCGGGAAAACGCGTTTTTACGATTTTGGCGAGAAAACACGTTTTTGCAGTTTTGGCGGAAAAATACGTTTTTATGGTTTTGGCGTGAAAACGTGTTTTTGCGGTTTTGACGGGAAAACGCGTTT